GAAGGCTTCATGATCTTTTCAGGGATTCTGGACACGAGCCGTAGATGCACTATCTCATCAGGATCCTCGAGCTCCCAGGATTTTCCAAGCACGAGAGTCTTAGTGGTCAAGTAGTCAGCTGCTTGGTTAAATTCACGTTTAACATGAATTAACCTCACCAACACAAAATTCTTCCTGAGATCCTCATACTCAGCCAAGCGTCGTTGCAAATTAGGCTGGTTGCAATTGATCAGACCCTGAGCTTGTTGAACGACGATTCGAGAATCACCGACTGCCACAAGTTCTTTGACATCATACTTCATAGCGAGCTTTAGCCCCAGAATCAAACCATGGTATTCAGCATCGTTGACCGTCACACCTTCTAGAATGTGTCCTTCAGCTTTCACAACCTGCCACCCTGGCAGCTTCCACAGTATACATCCACAACTTCCTCGGCGGGTAGAAACCTTTGCAGCGTCATTAAAACTCAGAACGTAGCCTTGATAGTCTGCTTCCAACCTTTCCAGACTCATTGGAGGCATCACTTTCAGACGCCCCTTGGCAGGGATCAGGGTTCCTGCAACTTTATCTAAATGTTCCCTGGGAGTGATACTGGACCCAAGGATGGCCGCAAGGCCGTCCTCATCTTTCTGAGTCCGATGGATTTCCAGAGGCCATCTTGATAATTCCAGCCCCCACTTCAGATGTCGTCCATCTGTGGTGTTGGATTGTAGTAACCACTTTAGCACAGAGTAGCGCGTATACACCACAACTGGGAATTCTGATCCGTGGATCAGAGGTCTGAAAACTTCCAGAGTCCGCAAGACTGCGAGCACTTCCTTCTCAGCTATATGGTAACGTAGCTCTGATCCTTCAACACTCTGCCAGTAAATTGCACGGGGTGTATAAGTCCTTCATGCTCCTGACCCAAAACAGCACACGCCGCCCACGGGTTAGCATGCGGAATAATCACGAAAGGCTTGGTTCTGTCTGGATGTCGCAGCAGCGGGGTCAACACGATCTTACGTTTCAGTATCTCGAAAGACTCCTTTGCGGCTTCCAGGTTCCGTCCAGCACGTACACGCTCTTCGTCCAGTTCGTAGAGCACAGTGGCGACTACTGGTAAGTCTTCAATAAACTTATTGTAAGTAATTCAGACTTCCTAAGAAGGACTGTACTTCCTTGTACGTTGACAGATCCTCTATGCCTTTAACAATCTTCGGCAAAGGCCTGATCCCGTCTGCACCCACCTCATGAGAGAGGAAAGGGATGGTCAACTTTCCGAATTCACTTTTCGGCAAGCTCATAGAGATATTCCAGTATCGCAGTCTGTATACCAACGCGTCTAGGTCCTCACATAGTTGGTCCCAGGTCGACGCCCCATGAGCGATATCGTCAATGTACGAGCTTCTTCCCAAGACCGGGCCCATTTGTGACGGAGCCGGGATATTGTGTCGAAATACAGTCATGTATAATGTCATGATCTTTGAGTCCCGCATATCTACCTCAGGTTTTAGGACCCCTTGTGGCTCAAGATTCAAAACTCCAGAACTTCTTGATCAACCAACGCTTCCTCTTCAGGAGGCAGACAAACAAATCCCCACAGACAGTTATTGATGATGCTCTGATAAATTAACGGCGCATTCTTCAATCCAAAGGGCATTCTGAGCCATTGAAAATGGCCGAACGGGCAAACAAATGCAGAGATCAGCTTCGCACGTTTAGTCATTCGCACCGCCCAGAATCCACTCGCCATGTCGAGACTCATAAACCACATCGCGGGTTTGAAGTCTACTAGCAGATCATCGATCAAAGGTAGAGGATAGCGGGCTAGTTTGATGAGCAAATTCAGAAATCGGTAGTCAGTACACATCCGGATGTCTATGCCGTTTTTCTTCAGCACACTCACAATAGGTGATGACCACTCGGACTTTGAATGATCAATGAGCTCTGCCTCCAGCAATGCCTTCAGGAGTTCAAACACTTTCACCAAAAAAGGTGCGGCAATCTGTCTCGCACGTAAAGCCACTGGTTTTGCTTCGCCAACGTCGATATCGTCGATATCACACACTACGCCCTAGCCGGGGCTGGAGCTGCTTGCCATCTCCGAGGAAGATGCTACGATGGCGTTTCAGGATCCCTCTCATCTTGGCTTCCATCTCTGGAGTT